AAATTCTAATTACTAATCTACCATCACTATTGTTACTTTAGCCGTTGCTGCGCAAATAGCAGCAAATATTTGCTGCCTTAAATTTTGCTTCTATAATTTCACCAACTGCAGTCATGTGTCCGTAAATTTTTTGCTAGTTCTTTCCAACAAAAGTCCGTTGACGGCATAAACTTGGAGAGAGACCGGTCCACTTTTATTTCTTCCAGCATAAACGACAGCCTGTTATTATTTTTATTTCGGTGCATTATTATTATGAATTACGTGCATAACGTTGAAATGAGATTGTTCATCACGCGATTTGCATTACAATAACGATTCTGATCATTTCCCTCGATAGATAGTAAATTTGTAATCCCCTTGACATAGCAATTGTATCTCTCTTTTTTTTTGTGTTTCTCGGAAAGTATGCAGTATGTAATGGAACAAGAACATGTCAGATGTTGAATTGATTATTACGATTACAAGATCACACTAAAATACATTTAATAAATAGTTATCTTTCAGCCAAAGGTCATTTGTCGCAATCATTGGATTACGCAACAGCTGTTTGTCTATCGTATGAGATAATATAGTCAGAACTCGAATAGATATGATATAAAAACTTGTCAATTGATTTGGTACCTTCTTTGCCTGTTTATAGAAAGCCTTGGACTGAAAGGATATGTCTCTACTCCTATCGATGAGATCATCTAGTCTCTCTCCACGTTGGAGAAGACTCTCAATGGTTTTATTCTGTTAAAAGCAAGAATTAGTAATACAGTTGTCATAAATAACAGAATAAGAAAGTGATCGGCATGTCCATTCTTCCATTCGCCTTTGCAAAAATAGCACTTGAGACCCCAAACCTAGGATTGCTCGCGCCCTTAAGTGCTTCGCTAATTCTCTGCTTAGTCTCTGCCGAGGGCCGTAACCCCTTTTGGATTGTATATATACTTACCATAACTTGCTTGGTTTCGTCCAGTTGTTCCTGCACCTTCATAATCTGATCTCCCTGCTTTGGATCTTGATACCGGATCAAATACTCCCTCAATTCCGGAAAACTGATTTTTTGTGTCCAAGTCTGTTTGGGAAACCGCACCAGAAACTCCTCCATGACTTTATTCAACAGAGAAAATGCAACTCGTTGAGGATATTCAGCGTCTGTGATTATGATACCCGCTAGACCCTGCGGAATAGAGTAGGCATAGAATACGTAGCCTGCATGAAAAAGTGAAAAAGGGAAGGAAGAAAAAAAGTGTTGAAATGCCTTAGAAAAGATCAACTACAATTATATGTTGTGTACGACATGACTGAGACATTCTTCGTAGGATCGATTGAATAATATGCTGAAATGCGACCATAAATATACATCCGCATAACTCAGAACCAGTCGTGTAAAATCATTACTATTCATTCATTAACGTTGTTGACGTTCAGTCGATCCATAAGAGCAAAGGTTCGAATCGCATCCGAGTGCTCATCTTAAAACGCACCGTGCAAAACGCAACAAAAGCTCTACAAAGTACTATTCTACACCCACTTCATTGAAATCAGTAAGATGCGTACTGCTTTCTTCAACACTCTGTCTCTGTCCTGGTTTAGTACGTTCTGCCACAGTCTTGGAGAAAAAGGTCATGAATTCTTGCACACTACAAACAGTCAAAAAAAAAAAAAAATAATAACAGATTGCATCAGCATTCAGTTGAATAATCGTTGCCTAGGTCGAATCAGCCACTGCTTCTGTCGAATAATAAGACAATAATAATACTACGGGTAACTGAACCATGCACGCAAGCATCGATCCATTCTTTGATCGCATACCTTGAACGCTGAAAATATCCAAAGCTTGAAAGCTCATATTCTCCAGCCAATAACTTCAACTCTGTGGAAACATTAGAAAAAACGGTAATCGAGTATAGTTTCATGACTCCTTGTTCGAATACCACTACCACACTGCTGAGTAACGGTAGAAAGCAGAATAGAGAATAAGAGTTGATGGAGAGAAACGCAGCAAGATTGTGTGCGTTTTATCGGCAAAAGGCGAAGTAATAGATAATAAACAGTTTAACATGCAAAACTTGTGCGACTATATATGTCATGATTTGCAAAGGGAACGTTACACACATAGGACCCTACTCTACCATAAAAGAAACTTTGGCATCTTTATTTGGTCGCGAAGTTTACAATTTTATATAAGCAGGCATTTACCGTTATGTTGAGTTGCACCATTTCACCTTTCCGTTTAATATCAATGAATTATTTATGACATTGATAGAATTGTACTTTTTGCAGAGAAGGAAATATTCGGTTCTTATAATGCTTCAACGTTACTGATGGTGACCAGGCATTTAAACCCAATTAACGTTTCAGTGTACTGTGCAAAATTTATTCACGTTTGCAAGAAGACCAAGTCAGCATACATCTATAATTTTATGTGTTGAAATACTATACAAATAAAAAGAAGCGAGACGTTGATATCATCGTGTATATGAATGACTATCTATAAATTTCGAACGTTCCCAGATGCACTATTCGACAAACTTCCAAATCTTAACCATCCCATCATCACCCGCACTAGCCAAAAGTGCTCCAAACTTCTCTACCGGCGACCATTGGACACAGTTAACGTCTGAAGCACAATGAGCTTCGTCGACAGACGCAATTAATTTATAAATTGGCATATTATCCCCACTCTCAGCAGACGCCTTCTCCGCCTCCTCGTCGCGCTCAAATACCCTAATTACATTATCACCACCACCGCTGGCAACACGATCATTGACTTTAGACCAGGAGATCGAATAAATACAGCGTCGATGATACCCCGAGAGTGTGCAAACACATTTCCACTTTGGCTCCGAGGTGACCGAAGATACGTTCTCGGAATTATCAGAACGATAGCAACGCCAAAATTTGAGTGTCTTGTCATCAGAGGCGGAAACTATATATGTCGTTTACGAAAGAATGACAATAGTTAATAAAGAGCTTGCAAAGTAAAACGCTCAAATTAACAGATTGGTATGGAATAAATTTGCCATGTTATAATCAAAGGAACCGATCCTTACCTAAATTGTCTCCCGACTTGTCAAAATCGATTGCCCAGACGGTACTCCGATGACCTTCTAGCGTATCGGAACAATACCAATCGTCGTCATCCTCTCGCCAAATTTTTATTGTATCATCGTAACTAGCCGATGCCAACAACTGTCACACAGAGGCAAGCAAACGCGTTAACGGATAAAATTCATCTGCGAAATTCGTTAACGACATCGCACGTCCCACTCCTCACTCCCCCTCTTTCCAAAAATCAAGATATATTTACATCTTCAGTCGGATGCCAAACGACCATTTTGACATCTTGTGTATGCTCTTGCAAGACGCTTAAACACTCGAACTCACTATCAGAGGCAACTATAGGAATAAAACATGATTTATACGAGGCCTATCAATAAGATTGATCTGATATAAAAAAAACACAATATAGACGACGGTTGGAGTGTTCAAGTTTAAAAGGTAAAGTCGAAATAGTAATTGATAATTATATCCACGGAGGGTAATATGAATAAGAGTGACATTTATTTACAGACCTTCCCATATCCAGACACTCTTATCTCGACCGCACGTTGCAATAAGCGCACCGGAAGATGACCAGGCGACGGATTTGGTTTCATTCTCATGGCCTTCAAGTGTTGCAACACATTCATAATCTTGTATCGAAAAAGAATTGCAACAAGTGGTCAATTGGCAATTAGACGTCATTGCTTAATGTCCGCTCTACTTTCATAGTCGAATGCTCTTCGTTTTTTTTTTCCTTATTTATTCATTCTTCTTACTATCCAGCATCGTCCTTTGCTTCGCGAATTCACCCAAACTAACCTCCTCCGTCGGCATCACGTTCCCAGATACCAGTCGTAGCATCAAAACTTGCAGTGGCCAACTGTCGACCGTTTCGACTCCAGGCAACGCTTCTTATTGTCTGCTTATGAGTTCCCTCTAATACATTTACGCATGTCCATTGCGAAGGGTCGTCGGGAGAAGAGCAGACCCACAATCGCACTGTCTGATCGCCACTACAAGAAGCGAGAGTATTTCCTGAGGGTGACCACGCCACAGCCCAAACTCGATCGGTATGACCTTGCGATTTGGAAAGAACGTGAGGAACCAAGAAGAACAGGGAGGAAAGGAAGAAATTTAAAAAAATGCTCTATTGCATACTTCACGTCTTATCCAATATGATGAAAATATAGGCTTGGGTACCAATATGTAATGAGTAGTTTGTTGCTAATGAGATACATACTTAGCAAGTAAGAAGAGAGTCCGGGGACATACCTTTCAGTTCAGCTATTAATTCCAAGCGCGCCATTTTGAGATCTACAAAATGTAAACGCACACTCGATATTAATCTCTAAATGCATACACGTGATTCGAAGTATAATGGCAAAAGGCAGATCTAAATATATCCGTACAATTTTGCTTAAATAAATGTAGTGCGTAGTATATAAAAGCTCGAGTCACAATGCAATAAAGTCTTTGTTTATTATAATTAAGTGTTTCGACTAAGCCGTTTTAGTTTTCTATGTTCGAAGTCAAACGATTCGATCAACTAATTTATCACGAACATATTATTACCAGTAAAAAACCCTGTGTCAAGCAAATATGAACATAGCTTGTTCGAAAGTCGAAACTCCACAGATAATAAAATCTTTCTCGTCTTTCTCGATTAAACTCTGACAACGACAAACATTCTTGAGAACTAGAGCTTTCAAATAATATTAATATATTAATATAAATTGCAACTATTTATGTAGTACGATTTTGAAAAATTTGCAAAATAAATTTGGGGACAAACTTTTGTCTAGTGAGTATATTAATATATTAATAGTAGATGTGACTGACAATTACAATCAATTCGAGCAAGATTGTAAACAGCCGATTTCGCTGTTTACTACGGAATTATTTAATTGATCAAAAATCCGCCCCGAGTATTTTGGATTGGGTGACAAGTTGGTGAAACGCATGTATTTATGACTCATTTGTATAATAATAACTCAGATTTTCACTGCTTAACCGCTACATAAAACTCACTCTGGTGGAGATTATGGCAAAATGCTTATCATTTAAATTTACAAGTTTTCGGTCAAATGTAAAGAATGCAAAATTATCAGGTTTACCAATGAATTCCCAAAAACGTATCAACTTATATGCGGTTCACACGAGATCGTGCAGATAACAACACCAACTATTCAACATACTCGTTAAATATTATTCCGTCAACGCACAGATTGTCCATATAACGTATTCGTTTTCCTTTACTTGTTATTACATCCTTGCGTGTACAAGATATCTCAAAATATTATTTGGAAGAATTCTCGCTCAACATTATGTACCAACGAAATCCGTCCAGACGTATAATCATCTTCCCAACATCGATCTTCTTAATAAAGGATACATCGCACCATTAAATAAACTTTGCACGTATAAAAGCCTAGCACTCCAGTAATGTGTTTACTAAATGTCAATGTCATCGCTCAGCATGTTGCCGCCAAGAACAACCTGCTCACCGGGTTCGAAAGCTGGCATACCAAGATAAGGACATGTTGCACATCGGAATGCGTCTCCCAGACTACACTAGTAAGAGCGGATAGCATGATGACAGAATCAGTAACTGATATAAAAAAATATGCTCGTCACGCTTCCTATTTGTAAACATACTTACATTGCCACAAGATGACGCCGGAGGTATTACGGCCTGTGCTTTGGCTTCAGCCTCCAATTGCTCGGCCAGTCCGCACGAACAGTTTTTACATGCTTTTCGCTTTCCACTAGTCTCACAATCAGGCCCTGTATGGGTTATAATATTCTTTTGTTAAAAAACGGAGCAAATGGACGATTGCTAAACCTTAGATATCAACGATATGTGCTATTCAAGATAGAAACGTTAGTAGCGCCGAGCGGTCAGTAACAATATACTTACGAACTAATGTATTCTTGTCTGGTTTAATTAAATCGTTTTCATCCAGTAGTTCATCTTCATCTTCTAACTCGTCATTTTCAGTAGACAAAGTCCAAATAGATTTCTTGTCTCCTCCGCTAATTCCATTCTTACTACCCAACTTCAACGCAACTGAGGCACCTGTTTCATAGGCAGGTTTCTTAGCAATGATCTCGACTATATGTAACTGGCCATCTAATGCACGCAATATGTCCTCTTTCTGATTCGGTTCTTTCACCTGCCAAGCTTCTATCATTTTAGCGATATCTTCTCTGGATACTTTGACAGCATCTCGAACTTCAAGATCCACGAACCCAGCAAGTTTTAATTCACCCACGAGATCTTGCGTGCTACGAGATACTGGTACATTTGGAAAACTTTGTGGAGTGAGAAGAACTGGTTGCTTGAGATATAAAGTGCCATTTGGTAGTAGAGACGAAGACAATTTCCGAAAAGTTGTACTGGAATGAGGATGCACTGGTGTATTGTACTGGTTCGCATATACGACGTTGTATGTTGGAGAGGAGAGTGACGCTGTCGTAAGCGAGATTATAGATTCAGAGAAATAATAATCAGCAACGCTCGTCAAAGGTGTAGTAGAATAGCAGGTATTCTAAGACGTTAAACTTACATTGAGAAATCTGGTTTGCGTCCTCGAAAGTCACATTAATGTCCTCAGCTCCCAGTTGTGCCCTGATTTCGTCACTCTGCCTAGCTTCAGAGTTGAAAGAGTCGACTACGAGAATCTTGCTGTTTGGATCGTGTACCAGAAGCATTTTGCTTACTATTACTTGCAGAAAAAGGTCGTCAAGTTGGGTGATTTTTGATCCGCTTGGGCTAAAACTTTGCATGTGACCTCAACATGATTATCACTCATTTCGTAACACATTATCTTGTCCCACATGGATTTATAACTATTCCCAACGTTGCGCGGTTTTTACTAAACTTTTACATTCTGTCATATAACGTCTACCGTAGACACTCCGGGGAATATATTCGCTTCTTCTCTGGCAAAACGTGTAGGAATGCTTGTAAGTGGTCGACAACTGCAGTTATTCATTAATTCTTGACAATCGTCCGCATAGAAGAAAAAGAAAGCGGTTTGTGTTTGTCCTACACTGTGGGCTCAACAGTCCGACTACAGTCTCATGGTCTTGTCTCAGACTGCAACAAAAAATTGCACAAATTTATCAAGAACAATCTCTACAAGCACCATCTCCTTGCAGCACAATTTACCAATAAAAAGGCAACATTAGCGACATTTACAAAAAATTTCTCGCTAATTTTTCCGCAAAAAATGAAAGCATTCCCGAAGCAGACACTCATATTGACACGAATAATGAAGAAGTTGTTATCAATGACAATGAAAATGATATTATTGTTAAACAATCGAAAAACACGTGCAACTAAAACTACTACGAATAAGAAACAGAAAACAAGTTTATTACACATTGCATTCATTTAGGCTTCAAACAAATGTCGAATGTTGCTGCACATTTTATCCAGGAACGATTAGCTCCGACTTACTACCAGTTTTATAAAAATGTACGCTATATTTTACCCCGGCGAAGGTAGCTAGCAATAAACGTACACGATGAGTTTTCGGTATCCTTTTAACTCATTTTAACAATTTAATTTAAACAAGAGCAAATTCTGCGAATTACATGTTTATTCAAAAGTACATTTATTGTAAATTGACTCCGTTTATATGAACAGAACTAGTTTTTGTCTTTCGTCACATCTCTAAATCCAAAATATTCTCGTCAACCTCTCCCTAACTCTATATTCAATCAACCAAGTTGTCTATTGTTGCCAAATAGACCTCACTATTAAAATGTTTGTTCTCACAAGTGAATTAATTCTTGCGTTATTGGTCAAATTTTTTTTAAACCTTTCCTTTATCATAAAGTTCACAAATTAACTGTGTCTTGTAAATTACCGAATCGATGAAGCAATTAATTTAATGGAGCCCAAGAAAGAAAATACAAGCTAAGCCAACTGCAACGTGAGAAGTGGGTATAACATAATTACGTTATACCACTTAGTATAGGTTATACCCACTTCGTTTAGGTTATATCCACTTGGTCACGTGATTTAAGTTATTCCTACGATGAGTTTGTTAGAGATGAAAAAAAAAAAAACAACCAAAAAACGTTTATTTGTCAAGTGACGACAAGTTTGTGATTGCATCGTCATTGCCGGAGATTTCTGTATTACGTATTCAAATAAATTCATGGAGAACCAACATAGTTTATGTATCTTGTTCATAATTTTCTATTTATTAAGATTGTATTGCCTTCCATCCATTATTTGCACTTGAATCCGATTAATGCCAATTTCTTCCCGAGAATAGTATTATGCAACAGTTTTTTATTATTAGTTTTACACCAAGTGAGATACTTGTGATATAACTTTGTACAATTTGTTCTGGAAGCATTCTCAGACCATAGTGAAATATACTCAATTATAAATCGAATATGATGGGGTAAATCAGAGATAATCGTTGGTCGATATTATTTCTTGCTTCATCAGCTGTATAGTATTCTTCATCGAAGCTTAAATGCAAAAACTCCTCGTAGTGCGAGTTTTACACTGTTCTTGACGTCTCATCTTAATCATATTTTTTATGCCTTCAATTAACGTCAAAATATGCGGACATGTTTGTCACTGTGAAAAAATCTGTCTTTATGAAAAATTTTTCATAGTAATAGTGATATTTTACGGTGACACTTTTTCGATGAATTTTGGTCGATTTAAGCCGCTTTGTTTCTTGATTATTTTTTTTACAGTGTCACTATTGTCACTATGAATAAAACTTCTAGAAAAAAACAACCCTTTTTTGTTACCTACTGACATACATTTATACAATGCATGGAGTGCACTCCGAAAGATAAGAAAAAAGGTAAAGAAGTTGGATTATCATAGAGACTCACGGTGACATGGTGACACTTGTCTAGGAAGGACTCCAGCGCTCTATAAGCATAAAAAAATTGGTTAGCTTCGTCACTATAAAACCGAGAATGGCTAATTTTTTGTGCGTCTAACCAATATCATTATGTCCGGTGTGATGACACAAGCGTATAGGGTGACGTATTCCTCCTAAATTTCTGTGAAAACCGCTGGTGCCGCCAGGAATCTCAAGGATCAGCGATGGGAATTGTAACGTTGGTATCAAGAGTAACGGTTGTACCAGAAGCGGTTGCACCGGAAGCGGTCGTGCTAATTTCAAGAGATGTTGCACCAGAAGCGCTAGACGGAAGCGCCGGACGGAAGCGCTGGATAGCAGCACAGTACGGCAACAAAGAGAGAGTAGTGATAAATTTAGAGAGTAATTATTAATTAGTCAATAGATTTTATCCGATGCTAAAAATAGATTAATTAATTCAGTCCGAAAGATATAAAAGCAGCGTAAGATAGACTTAGCATCGGTGTGTTCAGTGTTCGCGATGTTCGAGATCTAACATTTATTCCTTTATATCGAAGAACGTTCGATTTCCTTTATTTCTTATTAATAAACGAGTATTCATTTATTCTGAAACGATAATTCTTTCCCTGAATATTCCGTTATATTTTAAAAGCATTAATCCGTATAACGGCAAGATCGGTCATAATACTTGTCTCGTGATCGATCGAGTGGCATTAGGATAGTTA